GTATGCTTTACAGAGTTTATTGCTATAGTAAACAAATGCGAAACATCTGATAATGTGTGATAACGGCCGCATTTTTGACATGACAACGTTTTTTGACAAGGATTCCTCAGATTTTGTTAGGATTGAAAGAAAAAGCTAATTTGATACATTTGTGTTTTGGGGTTTTGGACAGACAAGGCAAGCGATTTAAAGTCATAACATTGTCTGACATGTAATATTAAAACAATATCCAAACATTTAATTGGGAAAAAATGGTGTAGTTGCAACCATAAAAAAATGTGAAAGACAGGTTATTACAGTTATTAAGAAAAAAAAAATTATATAATTAAGAATTTTAAAATCTTAAACTTGAATCAAGAGAGAGTCAAACATACTCGAAAATGCAGGCTATAAAACAAGCAATTTCTGTTCACTTATGCCCATACTGGAAGTAACCAGTATTATCAAATATCATCAGCTTACTCTCAGTGGTTGACTGTTGTAAACTCATTCTCTATCTACATCTATTTGCAGTAGGACTGATATATATGAGGCTGAAGTTATTGACATCCACTCGAACACACACCATACACATACAGAAGCATATGTGGACAATTGGGAATGCTATTAATACACTTATAAGCACACACACATGCCACACACTCATAAAAAACAAGTGGTGTGATGCTATTAATATGTAGAGAAACAGCAACGTACTAACTCAATGTCATCAAACATATGTGCACTTGCTTGATTACACACGATAACACAAGCGTTTACTAACAGGTGACACTAAAAATAAACCGGCATGGTTACATATACTCAAACTTGCACAAAGAGCCACAGTGTTCTTCTAAAGAAACAAATGCACACTATTAATACACTGGCACCAACGCCAGCACTGATGCACTGATACACGTGTACACACACCCTCAACTGTCGCACAAGCAGATCCTACTTATGCAAACACAAAGACCTGCTGTGTACACTCAAAAGAAACAACTGCAAACTATTAATATCTTGGCGTGTATAGGATGGACACACACAAGCATACACACATATGGATGCACACATAAGGAGATTGATACTCCAGCTGCTCGGAAGCAGAGGGACAGAATGTCCCCAACAGCTGTGGATTCCTCTAAGGACGGGGGAGGGACGGAGAAAAGGACGGAGGGATAGGTGGTAGGCTGGGGGAACCGCTGAAGGTGGCCAGCATGGTGGAGTAGCTGTCATAAAATTGCAATTGTGTTTGTGAGTGGGTCTGCTAATACAGGACTCAGTGTCAGCCAGATTAAGAACATAATTAATTTACACTCAGCACAAGTTGGCATGCTTGATATCTTACTAGAAACCATATTAATATTATTTTTTTATATTTCACATAGCATTTTGTCTCTGAACTCCTGCTCTTTCTGCTTTGTTGCTTGTCTAACCAGGCATAACCCTCAAACCCGCTGCCTGTGTTTATGTATACAAATAGTAACTAGCACGTCCTGACTTCCAGACTTAACTCTGTCCAATACCACTGTGGAGTTCGCACCAGCCCAACAATAAAAAAGTACATTTTAGGGCTTCAGTGTGGATATAAATACTGCCACACACCTCTAACTCTCAAGCGGCAGAAATTTAGCCCGTCAACCAAAATAGCAGCTTCGTCTTGCCTAAATGAACCAAGAGGATGTTATGGTGCAGACTAACTTTAGAAACAGGAAGTCACTGTTTCTGTGTGAGTGTGTCTGTGTCTGTGTGTGTGCATGTGTGTGTGCGCGCGTGTGTGCACCAGTAACGCCTATGCATGTGTGCAGGTGTGTGTGTTAGTGCTTCAGTGTATTTCTGCAGAAGCACACAGAAAGTGCATGATGGTTGTGAAACGAATATACAGAAACCAGAAGTTTGTCTCCTGTCTATTTTTAGCCCCACAACGCTCAAATGAGAGACAGAGAAGCACACACAAAGATCTTATCTAGATGCAGTTCTGCTTATTTTTAAAACATTCCAGATTTCTTCTTATAAATAACATATATATTTTTTTTATATGTGTATCTTGCACTTTCAAAGCACAATTGATAAAAGCACAGTAGAAAACAATGTTGGCCAAAAATATCACTGCACTACTTTTTTGTAATGTAATGTTGAAACAAGTGTGTACTGTAATTGTTCTCTTGATAAGATGATAGCTTTTGAAATCTTTCAGGGTTAGGTTGGAAGAAATCATAACTGTTTAGTTGGCCCTTTAAATGTATCATGTGGTGACTAAACTGGTTTGTGTCCAGTCATATAATGAGTCACACTGTAACTCTGCACTGCAGCTTTAGTGTCAGTACAAAAACTCAGCCAAACATATTTTAGTGGAGGAGTGGCTTTTCCTTTAAAACTGAAGAAAGATACAGAAAAAGTCACCCACTATGTGTCTCTGGGAGGACGTTTAAGGTCACATTGTTGTAGAATTCAAATAAGTATGGTTGCTGCAGTCTGGTCTACGCTGTATTTTCAGGGTAAAAATATACCACAGGTGTTTCTTTTCTGTTTAGATGAGAAGTAAGACTGACTTCCTGATCATTTCCTTTCTCTCAGGGGAGCTGACTTGTTTGGTAATCATACGCGTGGATGTGTGTGTGAGAAAGTGTATGCAGATTATTTGAGTCCCCACCACTCTAAACACACAGACATTCTTTTGGTAGTACATACTGATCTGCTGTAACTGGTACTTCCTGTTTAACCTTTCATTTTTTTTGTTTTTTTTTAAAACTGTTTTTTGAATAACAGTTTTTTTAAAAAAAACAAGCCTCTTCAACTTCATCAGTGACATACTGTCACACAGGCTTGAACCAACCGAAAGTCGGACAGGTTGAAATATTTCAGAGATTAAGTTTTGTCTGACATGTCTTTGCATCCTTGAGTTACCTGGCAAGGCAGGATTCCAGTGACATAGGAGAACCATGCAGAGCAAGAAGCATGTCAATTGCAGGCATATTTTTACAGGAGGCTCATCATGCTGTATTTATTTTTATCTCTACGAGATAATCATCATGCATCATGAATCAAAGTTTGTCTATATTTTTGTTTGTCTCTGTTTCACACATAAAGAAAACAACAGAACACACAGCTGTCCCACAAACAAATAGTGTTATTATGAACTCTGTATTGGGCTATCAAGCAGGACAACAGAACTGAAACCACTTGCCTTAAACTGTACGATATTATCTTGCACTGTAAATAGTTCTGGTCTTATTAACTCCCTGCCTGATTGTTTCATGTGTATAAGTGTCACTTGACCTGCAGTAATAAGACCGTGGGAGTGTTTTCTTCTTCAGAGGAATTCTGTCTTGTCAAAACGCCTTCACAGATATAATTACGTCTTACTCTGAGTCAGTCTTGCTGTCGGGAAAGATGACCAAATAACACTGCCTGGGTCTGTACTACCTACTGTGTGACTCCTGAAATAGGGAAGTTTAGTGCCTAGTTTGAGCCTGTATGGAGGCTTGTTTTGGGCCGTTTTGTTGCACTAGTGATATGCTGTTAGCTTCATTAAGCTAATGAACCATTTTTGCTGGATCTACTGTTAATTCTGATAGTAGACAGGCCTTCAAATTCTGTATTTAACTCAGACTAGGTGTTTAACTAGAAACACCATGTACTTATCTGCATCTGCACCTTATTAATGTAGTTGGTTTGAGAACGTAAACGTCTATTTAACTCCAAAAACAAGTGAATAATGAAGTGAATAATTGCGATGCAAGTATGTTATTCCGACATATCGCAGTGTGAGAGGTAGTTCTTGAAAAGTTGGAACTGTATTACAGTGCTGTCCACAGCAGGTAACAATTCAGCAGCGTATGCCAGTAAAAAAGAATCCACTTACAGGAATTCTGAGTAATGTTGAGTAACATTTTGTGTTGCAGTCATTCAGGCACACAGGTTCAGTAAATTTCCATGTCCTTCCCTTCCTCCCACTGTCCCTCTACCCTAGAGGGAGCAAGGTGTCTCCTTCCATACTGTGTCTGTCTACACTTTTGTATCAGTTCTGAAACATTTCTCACCATGTTTAATGGTTTCTGGTGTCAGTGGTATTGACACGTGAAAACAGTATCAAGTTATCTGTGAGCTCGCATATGTTTTTGTCTTGTTGTTGTGGCTGATCATGTTACCAGTTATCATTAGCCTTCTTCTCTCGTGTTTTATAGGTGATACCATCAGGCCCACATTGTGCCATGCATGCTACAGTTAAATCATTCGAGGTGAAAGTAACATTTAGCATATGTTCTATGCTCCAACATATTTACAGTGGCATTTGTATTTCATAAACGGATCAAAACCTTTTCACACTCCCCTACACCTATAAAAAGACATCTGTCTTTCATTAGGGCACTCAAGCTTGGTTCAATTGTCTCACTCATGCTAAATTTAGCTTTTTATTTCTTTCATTTTAGTAAAACCTGGAAGAGGGATGACAGATTGATGTACCTGACCGAAATGCCTTGACCACACAATGTTCAAATCTAACTCCCCACCCTGTTTCCTTCAATCTTTCTTTCTTTTGTGCCCCTCCAACCCCAACACACACAAACACCCCTCTGTTTTGCTTTTCTGAATGCAGTTTTGGACAATAGCCAATTCACTTGAGGCAGGAAGACTTGAATGAAATGAAATATGACTGGTGAACGTGCAGAGTTCAAGTACAAGTACACATCTGTGCATACACTTACGCCAAATAAACTGAGTGCACTCTTGATCATGTTTATGTAAAGCCCAGGCAGTAAATGACGCTCCAATTGTTCTTGGACTTCTTGTGAAAATCTGTTAAAACCATGCTTTCTCAGGTAAACATGATTTTAATGTGTTATCTACTGGGCATCAAAGATATTTGCACTACTTTTAATTCTATTAATGACCTTTTTTTAATCCATAAATAATCCCTTTCCCACGTTGACACCCTAACCAGTGTTAGACAGTGATTCATCTAATTCAACCCTTTGACTAACTGATTTGTTATTTTCTCCCTCCCTCTCCTCTTGTAGTGGATGTGATCATCAGCAATCAGGTTTCATTGTCCATGCATGGGGAGCAGCCCATGGACCTAAGTGTGACCCAGAGGTTGTTGCATCCAGGCCCAGATTCGGCCATGCTGGCCCCCCACCCTCCCTTCTTCCTGGGACCCCTCACCTCTCAGCATTGCTCCCAGTTTTCGCAGCAGCACTTGCAGGTAAGGACAAACATGTGTGTCATAAGGACAACACTGCAAATGCTGCAAACATAACCAGCAACAGAGTGTGAAGTGGGTATGAGTGTGACATTGGTGGTTGGGTGATTGGATGAATACATCGACTAAATCTGAATTTATGTGTTTAAATCATCAAGGCTCTTATACTTTAATATTTCTATATCATCACCATTCAGTACATGAACAAAGACTTAATATTACTCAGTATGCTTGTGACATTTTGTTTTATTTGAGTGAGGGTGAGATGACCAGAGGCAGATCAGCCTCCTCTCACATTAACCACAATAACAAGCTAGCTGCTTTTGCCACATGCCTTTACACAGGTTAAATGCTCAGCACAAATGAGTAAGAACCAGGGCAGGTTACAGGAAATAGACCACCTTCTCAGCATTCGATTCTGATAGATGCTGATCATGGATCAGCTGGTTGGTGCTGCACCTTTAGTGGTATATTTCTTTAGTTTAACATAAAGTCTCATTTTTCCTTTTTTATTTAACATTTATTTAGGCATGTGCTCTCATTGAGACTCATTTTCAAGATAGACCTGGTCAAGATAAAAGCAACAATACAATGCAGAGTTACAGACAGACAGGACATTGTATGCAGTATTGGTACTATTCAGTTATGTTTGTTATTGTCTTCCTGTGCCAGTAGCAATGTTTTTCACCTTTTGTGCAAATCAAATGTCTTTGTTTTTTTCCTCTCAGTATAACATTGACCATAGGCAAAGAGAGATGGAGGAGGAGAAAAGAGAAGAGTTACAACAGCTGATAAAAAAGAGTAAAAATGAGCAAAGTGAGTATCAGATGTAATGTATTTCTCCATAATGTAATGTGCTTTCGTTGGTTCCCTAAAAAGACCATTTGGTTGTTGACATGCTCTGATCTGAGTCATATCACACTGTAGGTTTCAATGAGAAAGAGGGGGAATTCCAACACTACTGTGATGTATTTTCAGATTCCAAGGAAATTTGTACTCATATCAAACCAAAGTCACACAAACATACTTGTTTCAGCAAACAGTTTTTATTTTTACCATGTTGAGGAAATGAAGAGAAAATAGAGGAAAGTGACAAATATCCTGGATCCTATCTCAGAAGTCTCCTGACTTCTTATTTATACTACAGTAATATACAGTACTTTGTGTAATCAAAAACATTTAATCTTTATTTTATATTATCATCAGCTCCACTGGTGGCTGTTGGTCTACCAATTTTATGTCTTTACATGATCCAAATCAGTATCTTTTTCCTGATGAAGTGACTTTATTAACTGGTAGGTGCTGTAGCCAGTCCTCTGGTGAAGCAGAAACTTCGGGAACACATTATCATGAAGAGCCATGACAGAGTTACTCCCAACCACTGCAGTCCTACACCAGGATACAGGTGAGAGAGACAAATGGGCAGTTTTTGCAAAAAAATACAATAAGGGCTCCTGCAGGGCTCCGGAAGGCCTCTTTCTTTTCTGATTTTAATCAAAGTAATACAATAAAAACCAAATCTCTTGATACCGACTCATGAGTTCAATATATATGTTTTGGTTACCTAGGCTCCCGGTTCCTGACATGTCCCCAAAGGCTCAGCCTACACCCTGTGACCATCTGCAGCTGCGCAGGACAGGTGAGATACCTCTGGTTTTTTGTGTCTGTGATGGGGCTTCCCACCCTGAGCTTAAAGCTGTGAAGCTCACTGGTGATTTTCCATTTCAGGCCTGTTCTGTAGCAATCTCTGTGTAATTTGAGTTAGGCTCAAAGTCATCTGACTGCATAGTTCAGTGGGATATTTTGTTCAGTGTTATGCTTTTCACTGTCTCAGCAAACTGTCATTATGTTACATATTCTGTACTAGAGAATGAGAAATTGAGGGAGAGAATGAATGTACCCAGGAGTGTCCTTTCCAGTGAAACTAAGGAAACTCATTAAGCACCAGACCTGCAGGGCCAGAGAGAAACTGAACAGTCATAAAATAAACAGCGACTGCAAGAGACAAAGAAGTTACATAAGTTTAACTAAGGTATGTGTAAAATGAACTGCGTGAGAGTCCAGGTCTCCCTCACCGTGTGAATGAGAGTGGGAGTGGTTTCGTCTTCCTGTACATATCTGCATGTACACTAACCATTCAAAATACCATTATTTGTTTTTGTTGCCCTAGAACCCTTAGGTGCCAGCATGCACACACCCTCTAGTGCTTTTTTTGGCTCAGTGGCAACACAAAGCTCCCTTTTATCTGTTCTGAGCCAGCCACTGATTGATTGTTTTGTTTGGGCTTATTAGAGCCTGACCAATGTAAACATGGAACTTTTTTATGCTATAGACCAGAGTTGAGGTATTTTCTTGGTTCAGATGTGCTACAGATTGTTTTAACTTGGTTTTGTAATGGAAATTGAGTGCATCGTTATAATGTGTGCATTACTCAATGAGAGTGTTCTTTCTGATGTAGAAGAAGAAGTTTATCATCTGTGAGTTTAAAAGTACTAGGTATCTGGATAATTATGTGTGTGTTTCTTCACATATTCATTTGTGTATATTTGTGTGTGTGCAGTCTCTGAGCCCACTCTGAAGTGGAAGATAAAGAAGCTCATCAGTACAAGGCCAAACCCGCTGCAGCGTAAGATCAGTGCCCCTCCAACTGTCAAGCATAGGACAGAAACTCTGGGTAGAGTATCTACATTTACCTTTAACACTTTCATCATCTTACCCTTCTGTTTTATTTGCATCGCAATGCTGCTATGATGTACCATTTCTAACTGTTACTTTTCAGCATGAAACTGTGCTGACACAGATGTGTTCTGAGAGTGTTGGCTATTATGAGTTGATAGACGTGTCTCAATTCTGCTGTCACCCAGACTCATCTCCCAGCAGCAGCAGCACCCCAGCATCTGGGAGCAGCTCACCCAACGACAGCCTCCATTCAGATAATGGGGCCCTCCCTCTGGCTCATGAGGTGAACCCTTCTTTTATATTCATACTACAGCAAATTTAGACTTTTTTATCCACATTAACATACTAAGAAAGGGTTCAGTGTCCTGTTCAAGCATACATCAACAGGGGACAAAAACAACAAAAAATGTATAATGGTACTTACTGTGTGTCACTCGGGTTTTGTTGGAAATTTTATCTGTACAACCACCAACAGCTAAATGTTGAAGGTGTGTTAAATGCAGTACAGTAATAGTGCCCGATGCTTTAAACAGTGAGATTTAAGAAGACCAGATGGCTCATTACACAAAAACATGTTACTTGATCACTCCTCATCTAATTAAAACATTAATATAAATACATTTACTATTTACTATACTGTACTTACATAATTTTCCTGGCTGGTTAAAACAATAGTGTGGGTTTTTAACACACAAGTCCATTTTAATAGAATCAGAATGTATTACCTGTGAAAAAGTTAATATATTAATATATTTAAGCTCAACTTGTTGCTCTCAGTATATGGCGCTAAGGGGAGAAGTAAAGTTAACTTTACATAAGTGTGTGTTATTTGTTATGTTGTGTGATGGTGGGATCGTTTTTATTTGACTAATTGTATGTACAGATAATCTCTATAATGAATATTTCTGTCCCATTCAGGCACAAAGGTTGCTGCTGAAGGATGGTAGTTTGGCTCATTTCACCTTGCCTCCCAACCCCACTGCCATGCCCAACATCACTGCTGGACTTCCTGCACAGGTGAGCGATGATACCTTCTAGGGTTCCCTTCAGAATCAATATTAATTTATGTCACAGTAACACTACAAACAAGTTCCTGAATCATGTATCAATTGAAAGGATGAATTAAGCAAATTTACTGATCACATACACACACATTCATGCTATGGATGTGTGTGTATCTAGAACTGAATGTATAAAATAGTGTCTGCCCATTTGAACACTTATAGAAACATGCGGTGTATTCAGGCTTTCACTTCCCTCTTGATCTCTGTGGTGCTTTCATATCTTGTGAATCAGTCATGTGATTTACTCACTTGATGAAATTGTTAACATGTTTCTTGAGTCTATCTGTACATTCAGAACAGCCCATTAATCCCTGTTCCTATGCTCCAACCCTTGATTTTGATTATTTGTGTAACGCTGCAACCATGATGAGGGCTTCCCTAATTCCTAGTAATCCCTCTAGCATTTCTTACCATCATCTCCCCTCTTCTCTGTTCTCTCCCCATGCAGTCTGACCTGCGAGTAGCAAGGCCGTTGGCGGTATCTGCCCTACATCAGGTCTACCTGCCTCTGGATGGAAGCAATGCAGCCCTGGGTCAGCGCCTACAGCCAGTGCTCATACTGGAACCACATACCGGACTGGTGCACTCCCAACTTGTCTCTCGTGAGTTGTGTAACTGGAAATACCTTACCTACCCCTAGAGGGTTAAATGAAGAACATCAAATTCTTGGACCTTGCTCTTGATGATTTACATGTCCACCACAGCATGTGGGGGAGATGTGAATCAACTAACAACTAACAACTAACATGTTTACGTTCATCATCAGTTGAAGAGGAGTGCTCTGGACCATTAACACTGTGTTTGATCCCCTGAGCTTCTTAGCTCCAGTGAGAGTACAAGGAAGGCTACTTTTAACATAGTTCATCTCTCAAGGTATTTATTGGGCCACACATCTGCCCACAGAGAAATTCATAGAAGAGCAGAGCAGAGAGGGCAGGACTAGAGGCCAATAGGATAAATGTTTTTCCTCGCTGTTTTAGTTCTGATACACTTTCAAAGGCTCCAGATATTGATATATATCATTTTGGACACATCAATTAAGGCAATCGCTGCTGTTATGTCATGTACCTTAAAATAACTACTGTGTAGGGCCAAGGTTAGTTTTGTCCTTGGCAAAGCCAAACCGGCACCTTCGGCAGAGTCACCATCCCTAGATTTGTACTGCAAATTGAGCTGTTTTGGCAGGACAGCTATAGAGCACTAACTGGCTGACTGGGTCAAGTGTTTTTTTGCTTAAGCCTGTGAGCATCAAACAATATTTCCTTTGAGCTGATCCAACAACAGTTGTGGAACTCTGTCCCAAGGCCATAGCCCTCCTGGTTGATGTGAAGGTTCATTTCAACCTTTCCAAGATAGGACGTTTGGTAAGGAAAGTTGTAAAGTTGATATTTTTGTTTAATGTTTTATTCATTTAAGTCCTGCCAATCTCAACAAAAAGCCTGTGATGAATTAACGACCTCAATAACGACTTTCATGTAGGTGTGTAAGTTCAGGGTCCTGGTGTTAAAGTAACACTTACACCTCTCCAGTTAGAGCAAGTCAAAATGTCTGCTATGAAAAAGGCCTGTTTATTTCAAATCAGAGAGTGTAGGAACATCTGTCTACTACATTTCTTTTGCTTAAATATTATAGACTGTACAAGGGTGCCCTCTACTGGGAACTTGATGGTGATGCAGGTATATTTCACCCTGCACTTCACTTTCTCTTTCTGAGTCAGATATGTTTTTGTCATGTTTGGCATCTTTTTTCTCAGCCTCCCCATGTACCTTTATTCTTCTGCCTCCTCTCCTTCTGTCTGCCCTTATCTTTATTAACTTGTTCGTCTCTCTCCTCCCCTCTGCAGTTCATGGTTTGAGCTCGGTTCCTCTGCAGCACCAGCTTCATCCGTCCAGAAGGGAAGGAGTAGTTACCTTGCCCTCCCACAAACGCCTGGAACGAACACGTTCAGAGCCTCCGCCCTACAGCCACTCATCCCTTACTGTGCATGCCAACCATCACACACACACCCAGCACCACCTGCCGCAGCTATGCCATAAGAGCGGGCTGGAGAGGTTCAAGCAAAATACACACCTGAGCAAGGTGAGAGGAGGCATAGACACAAGCATGACACACAGAAATAAACAAACTAGTTAGCGTTAATACTGACAGTGGCCGATACTATGGAGTCTTTGTGTGGACTGCATGGATTTACTTTATTAAAAAATATTAAAAGTTTGAAATATAGAAATCATTTGCTATTATCAGCTATATACAAATGCACAAGAATTTTAAACACTGTAAAACTTATACCTTATATTAGCTCACAAGCAAGTCCACTGAGAAGCCTCGCCTGACACAGATCCCATCGGAGGATATGGATCTGGAGGAGATTGGATCAGCATCTGGTTCTGGTTCAGGACCAGGGTCCGTGTGCAGCTCTGAACCAGGCTCAGTGTCTGAGGACGGCTATCACAGGAGACAGAGCACTGCCAGCACAGACTCAGTTTACGACACAGAGTCCACTACCTCCTCACGGGAGAGCTTGATCGAGCCCTCACATCCTTTCAGTCAGGTACTAAATTGCTGAATAATTATATTTCATATTTTAGTTTGTAATAGAATACATTATTGATCATGTGACTAATGCCAAAGAAAAACTAAACTAAAACAAATGATCTTTTGGAACATTAGTTTTTGACATTAGAGGGCGCTGTAGCTTTATTATACAAAATTAAAAGAGTGAGTTATAGTATTCTGGCAGCATGCTTGGCAATGCTGAATTTTCTTCATCAGTTGCTTGTTCTAGACAAGCAACATTAAATTGACCAAATAATGAGAAGTTGCAATGTACTAGAGAGGCATTTGACTTATGAGTATCTAAGTTTTCCAGTAAGTCTCTGCCTTGCTGCTGCTGGTAAATGTTTCTTCATTCCCTGTTCTCCTCTTCACCTACTGCCTGGGAACCACAGAGGCAAGTGATCCTTAGACCGGGTCTCCAGCTGGACTCCCCAGGTGTGTCTGCCCTGATTTGGCCTCACCAGCCTGTGTTTCGGACCCAGTCCTCCCCAGCCTCCACCTCCCTACCTCCTCCTCCACATCCACCCACCACCATACCTTCTCTGTCACTGTCCAGCCCTGCTGCAGATGCCCAGCTACGCTTTACCACAGGTGAGGGACACTTCTTTGATCAGGAAAATATGAAAAGAAGCCATGAATCCCATCACATTTTTGTACCATGAAATACTGAAGAAGGAAAATAAGGTAAAGAGATGGTGTGTGTGTTTGTTTGTGTG